CGACGGCACTTAACAACAACAACAAATATATATTATGTTGTTGTTGTTAAGTGCCGTCGAGTTGGTTCCGACCTATAGCGACCCTGTACAGCGAGGCTGTAAATCTTTACGGGAGCAGAACGCCTCCTCTTCCACGGAGCGGCTGGTAGTTTCGAACTGCTGGCCTTAAGGTTCTCAGCCCGATTCGTAACCACTATGCTACCAGAGCTCCTTTATATATATATGTATATTTGAAGGTAGGGTTTCTTCCCCCCCCCACACACACAATAGTAGGCATATTTCTAGGCACCTTATAGAATTTAAAAAATTAGCATAGAATTATATTCTACCATTACATTGTATTCTAATTTTGCTAACAAATGGTAAAGTTGTTCATTTTTACATATAATAATATTTTTGCAGTGCTACTTAAGACTCTTATAAAGCTATATTGCTTATAATCTATTATTTTGTCTTTAATCAATTACTTTTTTTAAATTTCCTTTTATAATTCCTATATTTTTTCATTGTATAATTTTACTGTGTTACTTGAGATATTTAGTACAATATTGAATAGAAGCAGTGTGGGATCAGAAAATGATGACCTTCAGAGGAAAAAACGGTATTATATGAAAGGAAAGGACCAGCATAGATAACCTATAGAGCAGGTAACCAGTCCAGTATAAAATGATAACTAGCTATTATCATGTTGTTGTTGTTATGTGCCATCAAGTTGATTCCAAATCATAGCGACCCTGTATAGTGTTTCCAAGGAGAGGCTGGTGGATTAAGACTTCACATATGACCTGGTTATTACATTTTCCAGGTTATATGAAAAGTTTTAATTGGACATACCTCTTTCTGCTTCTCTTATGTATTAAGCATGAATAAAATTATTTCTTTCTGATAGTCAAGTTACAAGTTATTTTAATTGCTATGGAGACAGTCCACTTCTAAGTCATATGAAAGTGTTACATGGTTATGCTTACCAAGTATTCCATATATCTTCTCATATCCCAGGCTCCTTTCATTTACATAGAGTCAAGTGACTGTTTCGGGCCAATTAAGTGCAATGTTTTTGAGCAATCTTCTATCCACTCCTCTTTCCCTGCCTTCTCAACCAAAACTTGTTGCTGATGATGCAGTTTCAAGAGAATGGTGTCTTTCACAACCTGGCCTCTCAGTCACTTTCTGAAGGAGATCATCATCTGACCTATGCACGCAAAGTACTGTGATTGAGAAATAAACTTGTGTATTAAGCCCTGGAAATTTTGGGATGGTGTGTTACTTCAGTTTAAACTAGTCTCTTCTAACTAGTACCATAGCATTAATATTCCTTTAGTAAAATGAATTTAAAATTTTATAGCATTAAGAACCTAACTGTTCTTTGTTTTTTGACAGCTGCCCACGAATATGTTACATTTTCTTTACGGTTTGCTCCTCTAAATCCTGGACGGTATCCTTGTAAAATTGTGTTGACATCAAGATTTGATGTTCGAGTGTATTACATTGAAGGTGTGGTAAATGATGAAAAAGCAGAAGCCAATTTTGAATTTGATACGCCAGCATTTGAACCCCTTACCCAGAACATCCCAATAGTAAGTAAAAAAAAATAATTTTGGTACATTATTTTCTTTTCTACTACCTCTGTCTGAATTAATGTGCTCCAAATTTCTCATCTTGAACTATCACAGATATCTAGTTGTATTATCTGTTGCCAATTGCTTCTCTAAATTGATGTTAGAGTTTTCTTCCTGAATATAAATGATGCTATTCACCTGATTAATCACTTCTGCTGGATATCTTTGTTTAAAAAATTAATTGGAACTTTCTTAACCCATCATAAATTTCCTAGTCAGAGCTGTTCCTTTCTATCTCCACTAAGCTGAGTTATGGGTTACCAGATCACTCTGCCCCAAAATCTTGTTAGGATATTATCACTTGATTAAGATGGAATCATAGGCACTGAGAACAATGATTGGCTACAGTTTGGCTACCTATTACAATACATCATAGAAAAAGCTAATGCAGTTGTAAGGAACATCGAATGCTTTAGAATGAGAGAAAGTGTTCTTATTTGTATGTTTTGATTATTAATGATTTAACAAAGTCAACTGAAAGCACAGATAAGTTGTTCTGACGTTATCTTTGCAATCTGAACTGTACTCACAGGCAGAATACCTCATATTCTAATTAGGAATAGAATGAATACTCCAAAACCATTTGTTATTTTAAAAGTAATGAATAAGCCAAAAAAGGAGCATGTCCGTAGATATTAAGTGATACATGCATGGGCCTAGTAGGCAATGTTCCTATGACACTGAATGGATATACATTAGCTTTATGTTCAAGTTATTGGTAATCTTTCTTAACAAATATACTTTCAAATGGGGATTCTCTCTAGAAGTACAGTTGTTAAGTGTTGTGAAGTTGGTTGTGACTCATAGAGAACCTGTGTAGGGTTTCCGAGGAATGACTGATGAGTTTGAACCATCAACCTTTTGATACACTAGAAATATGTAATTGCATTAAAAGTAGCAAGAATTATTATGTAATTCACCTTCTATATGATGCTTTTCTACTGTCTTTTCTCATTCTTTAGACTAATGATACAATGAAACAATGGAAATGTCATGTTACTATACAAGGAGATTGGTTTTATGGACCTCCTGTTTTATTTATTGACCCAGCAGAAACTGTGCAATATCCTCTCACATTCAAACCTATTTTGGAGTGTAAGATCACGGTATGAACATACTGATACTTTTACCAGTGTAAATATGTTGGTAGATACTAGTATGACATTGTTGTTGCTGTTGTTGTTAAATGCCATCTAGACAATTGTAATTCATAGAGACCTGTATAGGATTTCCAAGGAGTGACTTGTGGGTTTGAACTGCCAACCTCGTGGTTGGCAGTCGAGTGCTCATTCTACAGTGCACGCCAGGATGTTGTTGTTATTAGTGTGGTTAAGTGCTGTTGAGTTAGTTCCAGCTCATAGCCATGCTGTATAGGGTTTCCAGGGAGTGGCTGGTGAGTTTGAACCACAGACCTTGTGGTTCAAACTGACCTTGCAGTCCAGTGCTTTATCCCACAGTGCCTCACCAGGACTCCTCTAGGACATTAATCTATGTTTAATTCATGACATAAAACTTGTTTTTATACAAAAGTTACAATTAACATGAATTTAATAATTAGCATTCTCTCTTGCTTGAGAAATTTTGTACATGTTCTAACTTCAGGCATTAAAATTCTTAAAGTCACAATACCTTTGGCTGTCAAGATTTGTAGCCAGCTCACTTTTATACCACATGCAGAAAAAAGTAAAATCATTGGTTCTTTTGTTCTAGTCATTCAACAAATCGATACATCAGAAAAACATTTTCTTAGAAGCCATAGTTCTCTGTCAAAGACATAAACACACATATAATTGCTATGTATGTGAATACCTATACAAACTCCATAATTTAGAGAAACTTAAGAGACTAAAAAGCTCTTTTACCAATTTATCTTTATTAATTCAATAACAACATTTATACACAAACTGGAAAAGTCATTGGCTAACACCTCCTTGCAGTTTATTGTATTAAAAGGCTAGGAGAGGTTGTTCGGCATCCAACTACAGACTTCCATACAGCTAAAATTTGACTGCTTTGTCACAGGGCAAAGTTATTGTGCAAAATGAAGTAGATGGTATGCAGCACATCTTTGATATAAGAGGAATTGGAAGAAAACCTCAGGCCTTGGATCACATCATTATAGACTGCCAAGTGGGAGACTTAATTCATAAAACCATTATGCTGTCCAGTTTTACAAAGACTGCCATGACATACACGGTAAGTTTTTGTTTTGTTTTAGCATCATCAAAGTGTTTTTAGAAGGAGTATATTGAAGCGTTTGACATTCTGAAGATATTAGGGGAAGCAGTGCCACTGCTTAGTAGAAATACTAAAGTAACACCCTGTTAGCAAACTAAACCAAAGTTTTTATTGAAAGGATACTTGAATTTCATGAAATGGAGGACCATGGAGGACCATGGAGGAGAAGCAGCCAGTTTTTATTTGATAAAGGAAACAAAGGGAAATGGTTTCACATCAAAGTGCAGGAGATGTGAAAACATTTGTCAAGGAGTTGTCAAATTGCCCACTTTCTTCACAACAATTATTGTTGTTATTAAGTGCTATCTAATTGGTTCTGACTCATAGCCACCCTGTATAGGATTTATAGGAGTGGCTGGTAGGTTTGAACTGCTAACTGCAGTTAGCAGCCCAGTGCTTATCCTGTAGTGTTGTTGTTGTTAAGTGCCATCAAGTTGGTTCCTACCCATAGCGACCCTGTATAGAGTTTTTGAAGCGTGACTGGTGAGCGTGAACCGCCGACCTTGCGACTAAACCAATTTTGCAGTCCAGCGCATTAACCCACAGTGACACACCAGGACTCCCTGCAGTGCCTCAGGTTAATTCCTTATTACGTGATACAATTTGACTGAAGTAACATTTTTAAGGTGCACTATGTCAACATTTTTTATGTAGGAGTCATGTGATTGAACGTAGATTCAGTAAATTCCAGTTGAAATCCTTGAAACAGAAAGCTGATATATTTGGTTAAGAAGATAAGGTTGAATCAACTCTAATCTGAAGTATCTGAAATGCAAAACCTTACTTACCTTGTTGATGTTAGGTGCCATTGACTCCGTAGTGATACGTAGGGAGTCTATGCACAATAGAATGAAACACTGCTGGGTCTTGCACCATCCATATAATCGTTGCTACATTTGAATCCTTTGCTGCCGCTGATCTAGCTAAGGGGAAATAAGGATTGCTCAGACAAATTCACTTGGTGACTGATTCAAGGAGCAATTAAGATAGAGATTTTAAGAAATGCTAAATAATTCTTCACCTAGGCCAGAGAATCTGATTCATGTCTTCTCTGTTATTCTACCTGTAACACTCTGACAGGAAAAAGGCTGATTTTTCTTTAGACAGGTAAAAATGAAAATCTTATTTTAAAATGGAGTTGTCATTTAGCTGTGAAGTCACTCTATTCAGATCTGCTAGCACCTTGATTTCTTTAAGGTTCACCACCACATCACATAAGGTAATGTCTATCATTCTGCTTATTAGTTCAACAATTTTTATATTTCCTCTCAATTATAAAATTGAGCTAGTACTAACCAAGTTCTGCATCAAAGTATTGGTGCATAATCATAAAACATTTTAAAATTCACTGATTTGAGTCGTATATATATGTTCACTGGAAGATCTTTTGCATAATTATAAACTACTTTTTCGAGAAATTTAGAAACAGCTGTAAATTTTAATGCAAAATCTGTTGTACCAATTCATAGCTACCCTGTAGAATACAACAAAACAACCCAGTCCTGCTCCAGCCTCACAAGTTTTGCTATGTTTGAATCCATTGTTGCAAATACTGTGTCGGTCTATCTTGTTGAGGGGCTTTCTTTCTCTTTTTCGCTAACCTTCTACCTTACCAAGCATGGTGTCCTCCGAGAACTGGTCCTTACTGATAGCATGTCCAAAGTATATGAGATGAAATGTCACCATCCTCACTCCTAGGGAGCATTGTGGCAAGACAGATTAGTTCTTTCTTCAGACTGCCCTCAGTTCTAAGGCATTAATCCTTCTTTGATCTTCCTTATTCATTGTTCAGCTTTTGCATGCATATAAGGAGCTCTGGTAGCGTAGTGGTTACGAATAGGGCTGCGAACCTTAAGGTCAGCAGTTCGAAACTACCAGCCGCTCCGTGGGAGAAAGATGAGGCTTTCTACTCCCGTAAAGATTTACACCCTCGGAAACCCTGTACAGGGTTGCTATGGGTCGGAACCGACTAGACGGCACTTAACAACAACAACAACAAGGCAACTGAAACAACAAAATTTCAAAATCCAGTACTATCATTTATCATTTACCAGTGTGAGTACTAGTGGCAATGTGAAGAAGTTCAGACTTACATGTATCTTTAGTTTTATGAAGTTTTGTATTTGATACTCCTCATTTTTTTTTGTTCCAGTCGATCCTCAATCCTAGTTTGTTGTTGTTGTTGAAATGAAAAAGACAATGAAAATTTAGGGAGAACATACAGAGTTATAGAAGCCTTCATATGTTTCTGGTGCGAGATAAAAGTGGTGTAAATATTTTCAAAAACCATATGGCAGCTCCTCAGAAGGGTACACATCAAGTTTACCCTACTGATTTCACTCTTAGGTATATATCCAAAGGAAAGTAAATTCTTTGTCCACACAATACTTTGTACATGAATTTTCATAGAAGCCTTATTCAATAATAGTAAAAAATAGAAACAATTCAAATACCTACCACTTATGAATGTGTATACAAAATGTAAGATATCGCAATGGAATATTATTCAGCAATAAAGAGGTGCATACTGTGTCATGCATGAGCCTTGAACAGATGCTAATGTGAGAAGTCAAGCACAAAAGATAGACATACTATGTGAGTTCATTTCTAGCAAATGTCCAGAATAAGGCAATGCATGGAGACATGGATCACTGGTTGCCTTTTATAAACAGAAAGCTGGATTTAACCAGACTTGTGGCTAAATGGACTCGTGGTGACCTCGTGTGTTACAGAGTAGCACTGAGCTCCAAAGAGTTGTTTTAGGTATAATTTTTATATCAGCAGATCACCAGGATTTTTTTCATTGATGCCGCTGGGTGGGTTTGAACCACCAGCCTCTAGGTTAGCTGTTGATTCCGAGTCATTGTGCCCCTATAGGACAGAGTTGTTGTTGTTGTTGTTGTTAAGTGCCGTCGAGTCGGTTCCGACCCATAGTGACCCTGTACAGGATTTCCGAGGGTGTAAATCTTTATGGGAGTAGAAAGCCTCATCTTTCTCCCGCGGAGCGGCTGGTAGTTTCGAACCGCTGACCTTAAGGTTCGCAGCCCAATTCGTAACCACTACGCTACCAGAGCTCCTTATAGGACAGAGTAGTAGGTTATAAACTTCAACCAGATCTTTTTTCAAGATGTGTGACTTGTGGATTTGGTTAGCAACTGAGAGCTTAATCATTAGGCTAAGTACAAACTGTGTCGTCAGAAGTAGAAATAAACTCAACAGCAATGTTTGTGTGTGTGTGTGTGTGTGTGTGTGTGCTCAAAGCCAACTCATATGATTTTATATTATATTTTATATTGATATAGAAATTCATTGAAATGTTTTATCCATCAAATTGTTATAGATGGTATATAAAATTTTTCAGCTCTTTAAAGCATTGAAACAATAAGCATTGATTCTTTTTGTAAGTCATTATTTCTCTTTTTCTGTTGCTTCGTAGGTCTCTGCTCAGATTGTTCTCCTACTAAAGCATTTTCCTTGCTTTCTAGTAATCTAAAGGAATCTTGGTGTGGTGCCATAGGATAAGCACTGGACTGCTAACTGCAAAGGTGGCAGTTCAAATCCACCAGTAGCTGCTTAGAAACCTTATGCAGGGTTGCTATGAGTCAAAACCAACTCAATGACACTTAACAACAACAACAAGTAATCTAAAAGTGAATAGTTTCATTGGAAGTATTAAATAAATTTCAAATTTAATATAATTTAGCTAATTAACTCTTGTTATTAAATTATCTTTTTTAGGTAACTTCAGATCTTCCAATGGTGTGGGGAAATCCAACTGTCTGCTTAAATTCTAAAACTGAAGTTCCATATGTTCTACACGTAGCTCCTTGGAAACGTGGTATATTCAAAGGTATCACAATCATTAATAAAATATTCATAACTAGCTACCACGTTAGGACTAAAATATCTTGGGAAGTAATATGGGTGGGAAATTCACTGTAGCCTTACAACCATTAGTTTGTAAATAATCAGATCTTTGAAACATTTATTTTATGTCTACGGCTATATTTTCTTGATTACTTATTTCATTTTGGGGATAAATTCTCAGAAGTGGAAATATTTAATTAAGAGTACTTACATTTAAATTGTGATAGATGCTTATAAATAATTGTACCAATTTATGGTCCCAACAGCACACTATAATAATACCTGTCTACAGGGATGAATTTTATTTTCAAAAGCTTTAAATGTACCCAATTGATATATGAGATTTAGGTTAGAGACGTTGATATGAGTGAAGTTTGTCTCTAACAAAACATTTGTTTATATAAATTATCCTGACAGTGCCTGAACAGAGAGAGTCACTTGCTTTGCGAAGAATAAAGGTGTTCCTCCAAGTTTTTGAAGGGATGGAATAGTAAGAATAAGAATTCAGAGTCTGTGAATAATAACCAAAATAAATTACCTTGTTTTAGAAATAACTAAATTCTCCATTGGTATTTGGACTCTGCTCAAGAAATGATAATAATGTACAAAATTGGAGGCAACATCCAAAGAACCAAGTCAATTTCAACTCAATAGCAACCCTAAAAGGACAGAGTAGAACTGCCCCATTAGTTTCCAAGGTTGCAAATATTTTCGAAAACAAATTGCCACATTTTTCACCTGCGGAGCAGCTGCTGGGTTCTAACCATCACCCTTTCCGTTAGCAGCCATTACACCACCATCCTTGGATACAACGTAGAAGTGTGGCGATCATACACCTAGTAACGATGCTGTGCTCATCCCCACTTACCTCATCAAAAAATGTGTGAGCTGGCATACAGGGTATACCCTTTGGTTATTTGAATGGTTATATATTCCTGACTGCTTCTGTGTACATCCAAAAAACAAAAAAACAACAGAGGGATTGGAAGCAAATGCTGTTAAATGATGATGCATGGAGGGGATTGAAGTCATTGCAATGAAATGAAATACGATAGGGTGAATGTAAAGCTGATGCTCTCCCATGTAAACTATCACTCAATTCATAATAAAAACTTATAAAAAAATTTGTGTGAGGAGAGGGTCTATGCCTAGCATAGTGAGTATAGAGAACTGATGCAAAGAAGATAGTGCTGAGAAAGTGGATGGGTACAGTGCTTTTAGCAACAGAAGGGGAAAACCAAAATGGTAAACTTGACCTAGCATAAGCACTGGACTGCTAACCACAAGGTCAGTGGTTTAAACCCACCAGCTGCTCTTCAGAAACCCTATACTTAGGGTCGCTGTGAGTTGAACTCGACTCAATGGCACTTAACAACAACAACAACAACAAAAAAAACAGATCTCGATAACCCGATTATTACTATTATGCATGACTTCAAGTTTCACCACAGTAAGAGTAATTTCTATCTTCTGAAAACTTATCTTCTCTGTTTAGACTTCTCACTTTGCAAATCCCATTAAGGGTCCTTCATGTGGTAGGTAGGTTTTGAGTTAAAGTGAGTCTATTGCTGTTAAGTGGTAGTACGGCTTAATTTAAATCTACATAAATTTCTGTTTTAATTTCCATCATCAATGGTAGTAAGTGATGAATTTCCTTTAGTTTTAGAGTTTTGACTTTTTTTTTTTTTTTTGGTAAAAGGAAACAATTCATTTTGAATTGGCAAAATTTTTTCCCCTTGTGAAACACAGTAAAAGTCACTTTCCTGTTCTATAAAAGGCAGAAAGTTCAGTTAGGAGGGAAATATAAAAGGCATCTTGAACTGTGAAACAGTGTTAGATTAGGACTGCTAATAAACACCTTATAGGAAATCTCTGCTCAATGAATACTTTGCTGTTTCCTACTTTGCTATTTTTTTCTCTACTTCTTTTTGTTATTTTCCTACTTTGCTATTTCTCTCATCTTAATGCTACTCAGATGTACTTAAAAATAATTAAGTACATTGGATATGTCTTTCCTTTGTATAATTAATCTTGTTAATGATTTATCTGTTGGTTCTGTTGGTTAGCATCAATGGATTTAAGCGTGGCAACAGTAGTGAGGTTGGTCCAGGCAGTGTTTCGTTCTGCTGTGCATAAAGTCGCTATGAGTCGGTACCGACTCGATGGCACCTAACAGCAACAACAACAATGATTTCTCAGAGTTTGTGAGCCTATGAAATTTCAATGTATATGTGCACAGATCAGTGGCAGGCTCCTTTTCTATGTTGGTTTAAAAGGTTTTAGAAGGAATTTGGGCAACTCTGGGGAGACTACTAAGTAAGGATGAATTAGGTAAATGTTACTGGCTACACAAGAGGTTTTGAAGGCTTCCTAATTTTGAAAAACATTTGCAAGACATAATCATGGTAACTCTTTCCGGGGTAGCCCTTTATAGTTGAATTAATATGGCCATTATGTGTTAGAAAAATTGAGGTTGCTAAGAGGACTAATTCCATTTTTATTGATATTACCATTGGAAAACGTCTACAGTATTTTCAAACAGTGTAAATGTAATTGTTTCTGAGCATCTGTTAACTAATCTGAAATCACAGAAAGCTAAACTATAAAATTTTCACATCTAAGAAGGAATTTTCCAATTTGTGTGGATGAAAGTGTGTATATAAGAATGTGTGTCTTTAAAATATGAGTGATCTTTAAAATATTTTTTTGTTTGTGTTCATTTTCAATTATATTATTAGGTATTCAATAAGTATTTACTGAGGGCCTATAATTAGGGAAAAGGAGCTCTGGTAGATTAGTGTGAAAATACTAGCTGTTCTGTGGGAGAAAGATCAGGCTTTCTGCTCCCGTAAAGATTTACAGACTATGAAATCCTACCCAGGATTATTAAGAATTGGAACCAACTCCATAGGATATCACCACCACCATAAGTATGGAGAGGAGCCCTGGTTGTACAGTTGTTAAGCCCACAACTGTTTGCTGAAATATCTGCTGTTCAAACTTCCCAGCTGTTCAATAGGAAGAAGGTATAAGCAGTCCACTTCCATCAAGTCTTCAGTCTAGAAAACCCTGTGATGTAGTTCTACTCTGTTCTGTGCTGTCTCTATGAGTCAGAATCACTTGTTGACAAAGGATTTAATTGAAGTTTAGAGCCCTGGTGGCATTGTAGGTTAGGCATTGAGCTGCTAACTATACGGTTGGTGGTTCAAACCCAGCAGCCGCTCCATGGAAGAAAGACGAGACTGTCTGCACTGGTAAAGATTTCTAGTCTTGGAATTGACTAGACAGCAGTGAGGTTTTGGGTGGGGCATTTACTACATGGGATGTTCTTTGGGAGTTTACTGCCTACAACTACAATATTATAGCCACTAGCCTGGTAGCGTAGTGGCTACGAATTGGGCTGCTAACCTCAAGATCGGCAGTTTGAAACTACCAGCCATTCCCCAGGAGAAAGATTAGGCTTTCTGCTCCCATATAGATTTACAGCCTCGGAAACCCTGTGCAGGGTCACTATGAGTCAGAACTGACTCCATCGTACTTAACAACAAGCCATGAATAGCCATTCTAATGAAAATTAATTAAAATTACTTACGATTAAGATCAGCACTGGACAAACCCACTAGCTGCTCCTTAGAAACCCTATACAGGGTTGCTGTAAGTCAGACCCAAATCGACAGCACTTGATAACAGCAACAACAAAATTTAAATAGTCCCACGTTATTTGTTGTTGTTGTTGTTGTTAAGTGCCATCGAGTCGGTTCCGACCCATCGTGACCCTGTACAGGGTTTCCGAGGGTGTAAATCTTTACGGGAGTAGAAAGCCTCATCTTTCTCCCGCGGAGCGGCTGGTAGTTTCGAACCGCTGACCTTAAGGTTTGCAGCCCAATTCGTAACCACTACATTAGTGAATATTATATTAAATAGTGAAATCATTAACATTTCTCATTATTTTAGAAATCTCTACTGGACAACCCTGGCTATATTCTATCTAGTACATTCAGCTCTATTCTTTCTTATTCGATTTTATTCTTTAAGAATGCTTACGATTATTACTAAAATGATTTTATGACTTACTAATGGGGAGTGTTTCAGGTTGGTAGTCATTATAGAACATTTGCATGGATATAAAAATGCAAATGATTAAAACTGATTTGTCTAAAAGAACACTTTCAATAAAAATGAAATGCAATACACATATGTAATTAAAATTTGTAGCAGGTAAAATTAATTTAAATAATACATTTTAGTTGGATGTTGTTGTTGTTAAGTGCTGTCAAGTCAGTTCCTACTCATAACGACCCTGTATAGGGTTTCCAAGGAAAGGTTGGTGGGTTTGAACCACCAACCTTGCGGTTAACACCACATATACAATGAACATAAAACTATTAATAGTACATTTTATTTTTTTGTTCTAAATCTTTAAAATATGGTATGTATTTCACACAGCACAGCTCAATTCAAACTAGTAGCATTTTACATGTTTATATAGTCACATTGTTGTGTGTGACTGAGTCGCTCCTGACTTACAGCAACCCTGTACAGGGTTTCTAAGGTTGCAAATCTTTATGGGTGCAGAAAGTCTCATCTTTCTCCCATGGAAATACGGGTAGATTTGAACTACTGACCTTATGGTTAGCAACCCAGCTCATAATCCACTATGACTCAGGGCTCCTTATATGTGGCAAGTGGCTACCATATTGGACAGAATGGGTCTACAGTTACATCTTTAAGGACTTTTGTTTACACGTTTGGGAGACGTCATCTTCAACATCCTGTAAACACCTGAAATACCTGTATTGCTCATCCAAACACACCAGTGAAAATATCATTTTTACATTAGGGATTTATTTTCTTAGAAATCTGTCCTCCTGTGAGAAATGTGTAAACATTGTTTTGTTGTTGTTTAGGGCAATCCCTAAACATGAATAATGGGAATATCAATGAAGTTCCATTATTGAGTGCTGGTTCTGTGCTTTGGACCAAGTGCTTTGTGTGTACTTTTATATTTTATTTCAAGCTGATCTTACAACTATTATAATGTTGCAAGGCAAATTTACTTCAAGATCTCTCTCCAAGGAGACTGTGCTTCTAAAAATTATATTTCCTTAAATAACATACCCATTCTTTAAATTATATTTCCTTTAATTACATACCCAATTTCTTCTACTGGAGGAGATGTTTATTATCCAGTGAAAACTAAGACAATTTTAGTGTTTAATTTCAGTACTAATTGTCTTTAGAGTTAATAAAATACAAAAGCTATCCCAATTCAGTCACAAAGTATTATTGTTATTAAGTGCTGTCGAGTGGATTCTGACCCACAGCGACCCCATATAGGGTTTCCAAGGAGTGGCTGGTGAGTTTGAACCGCTGACCTTGCTGTTCAAGTCGACCTTGTAGTCCAGTGCATTAACCCACAGTGCTACACCAGGAGTTCTACACAAAGTCTTGGTAGGCCTTAATATAAACTGTTTGATTATGTTTCATAGCTGGGGATATGTGGTTCAGTATACAGAACTCTATTTTGGAAGCCTGGTATTGAGAGCTTGGCAAAACTGCTGAATTACTTCCATACATGTATTTAATTAGCTTCAATTTAAAAATTAATGCTTGTCTTTTATAAGACAATTTTAATATAACAAAGATGATAGAATGTGCCAATTTTTAACACTGATAATTTTATAATTTTTTTTAGTGTTTTCCATATTAAATGTTTAAAAGAAAATTCATAGTTGGGATATTAGTATACCTGGTGTGGCAATGTGGGCTAATGCGTCAGACTGCAAAGTCACGTGAACTGCAAGGTGGGTAGTTCAAGCTCACCAGCTGCTCCTTGGAAACCCTATATAGGGTCGCTATGGGTCAGTATCCACTCCACAGCACTTAAAAACAATAGATAACAAAACAAATATATTTTAAGTGACTTAATAGGATAATGATAATCAAATAGGAAAACAAAAGAATGATTGCTTAAGTTTTATAATTTAATTTCAGTACTAATTGTCTTTAGAGTTAATAAAATACAAAAGCTATCCCAATTCAGTCACAAAGTATTATTGTTATTAAGTGCTGTCGAAAACAAAAGAATGATTGCTTAAGTTCTATTATTTACCCCTTCTTCTTAATTATTACAAATTCTTAAAATTATAATTTTGATGAATATTTTGAAAATATTTCCTTAAATTTTGTCTTCTATTGTGCTATACCACCATTGACTGTAATTCTGAAATGAACACCAGGAATTTGTGTTTGACTTAATATTTATTAGTTTCAAGCCAGGTGTCTTTGTTTGCTAGTGCTACTATAACACAAAAACCACAAATGGATGGCTTTAACGAATGGGCTTTTATTATCTCACAGTTCTGGAGACTAAAAGTCCTAATCAAAGTCTTGATTGTATCGATTCCTTCCTTGTCAGTAGACCCAGGAGTTTCTTAGTTCCCTGGCTTTTCTTGGTTACTTGTAGACACCCTCACATGACATCTGTTTTCTCCTGTGGGTGTGTCTCTGTGTCAACTTTGGTCTTTTTATAACTCAGAAGTAATTAGGTTTAGGGTCAAACCTACACTGCTATGACTTCATAAACAGAACAAAGGAATTCAACACATACTGGAAGGGATGATGGCACAATTCAATCGACAAGACAGGAGTAACTTTAATAACTGAGACTAAGCTTTCATTTCAGGAAACTAAGGCTTAGTTAATCTGAAATGTCTTACCTATGTTTTGTAGGTGCAGTTACATTTAATGTTCAAAGCCAAAAAGAAGTTGATTCTCAGAAAAAAACAGACCCAGACGATTCCACTGAGAAATCATTATTAGAGCTATCCAAACATGTTGAAGAAAAGCCAGGTAAGTTTACTATTATGGAGTTTCATGGTCAATCTGTGTCAACTCTCATCATCTGTCCATTTTAAATGACCTAGATACTTTACATGTATAATACATAGCCAAATGTCATTTGCAAGCATTTGTAAAAATGTTATTGTATTATTTCAGAATTAACTTTAGATAGTTTACTTTCTGAAATTCTATTGCTATTACCATCTATATATGTATTAATTTTGACCCAAAATGTTCTGTAGATGTCTTTGATGGTCTGTCAAGTTGGGCAAAAAGTAAGACTCACTCAGGAAGATCAGTAAACAAATGGAATTTCTTTACTCATTAATTACTTATAGTTTCCGGAGAGGACGCCACAGCACAACTCAATGTAGGGCCACACAGGGGGCAAGATGCCATCAAACTGAAATTGTAGGAGACAGTTTTTGTAAGGCAAACAGGGTGAGGCCTTGGAGTTAAAAAATAAGCCAAATAAAATTGTGATTTATACTTCTGGATAACTCCTACAGGTTAATAGAAATAGATACACACTTAAAAAGAAACAGATTTGTATGCCGATTGATAGATAAGTCACTCTATAAAAACTCACATAATATGCTGTAAGATTAATGTGTTCAGTTTTTCAACTGTGCCCATCCAGATGGCCATTTGTTTTCAAGTAAGTACAAAGTAATTACAATAAATAACATTACATGGTGGGACTTTTATTTCTATAAATTTCTAAAATTTGAAATCTAAAATTTCTATGTTTCTAAAAGTAGGATTTCTTTTCAAAGAGCATGTTTATTATTAGCAGATATCTAAAAGCCAGAGGTCAGTGGAACAGAATGAAAACCCAGAAAGAAACATAATAATAAAAAATATGAACTAAAAGTGACATGAAATTAATGAAAAAGAGCAAGTGATTGACATCATTTATTGACTATTTGATTGAACAAAATGAAGTTACATAATCCCATACTATGTACCAATTAACCTGATGAATTAAATAGCTAAATATAAAAAAATGAAAAGCACAAAAGCACTAGAAAAATGTACAAGCAAGTTTATTTGATCCTATGGTAGAGAAGATCTTTCTTTGAGAAAACGAAAGGAAACAAAGTGTAAAGGAAAATATTAGTACTACTGGATATATTAAAAATTTAAAACTGAATTTGAAACTCATAATATTTTAAAGAATTTACGTAGAACAAATATGCAAACTCTGTGATAGCCAAATAATCGAATTTTCAATCTGTGAAGTTTGTTTTAAATCCATGCAAGACAATAATCCCAAAGAAAATTGAACAAAATCAGGAACCAACAAATTAAACAGTAAGAACACCTCTAACTTTCCTTTATTCCATGAAGTGAAAATGACAACTAAATTAAAAATAAAAAAAATTTAACCTGACAATGAGGGAATATGAAAATAGAATATTCAGTTGTAATGAGAGTCAGGTCAAAAGAGGCCATCTCATGCATGCAATGGGAATTTGAATTGATATAACATTTTTGAAGAACAATGAATTATGATATATATAAAGCTTTAAAAATTTGATCCACTGATTCAATCTATGAATTTGTTAAATGAAATATTCAGAGATATGCATGGATATTTTCATACATGATTGTTCCTTATATGGTCTATTATGTTGAATAATTGAAATGAAAACATTTTAATACCAAGTATTTTCTGGATAGTATGTATTTGTATATTCATAGGCACATATATACATATGCCTGGTGTGCTGCTGTAGGATAATGAACTGGATCACAAGGTCAGTGGTTCAAACTCAACAGCTGCTCCTAGGGAACACTATACAGGGTCACTATGAATCGGAACCTACTTGATGGAATTTAGCAACAACAATATTCATTAATTAAATCCTAGTGCATATATGTATATGGAGTCCTAATGTAACATTGCAGGATAACACGCTGTACTGCAAAGTCAATTTGAACAGCAAGTTCGGTGGTTCAAACCCACCAGCTGCTCTTCAGAAAATCTATACAGGGTCGCTATGGATCGGAACCAACTCGACGGCACTTAACAACAACAACAACAACATATGTATCTATACCTATATGCATATTTATTATATATTACAAATGGACATTTATACAACAAATGTTATGTTATTTTTCTTTTAGTTATGAGATTATGGTTGATTTTAGTATTTTTTGCACTTTTCAGGAATTTCTCAAAATGGTCTAGTAAATGTCATTGATTTATAATTGGAAAGTGCCATAAAATGTTGAAGGCTTCTTGTATGCCACTGAGCCAATTCCGACTCCTGATAATTCTATGTATCACAGAGTAGACTGGTTCTTTAAGATTTTCTTGTCTATCATATGTATAGAAGCAGATCACCAGGCCTTTTTCTTTGTAGTGTTCCTGGGTGGGTTCGAACCACCAGCCTTTCAGTTACCACTCACATGCAAACTGTACCACTCAGAGACCTTTTAAGGTTTGTAGTTAAGTAATAAAAGTTACATGGCAACATTTTATCCATTTTTATTAGTTTCTAATTAATAAATACTATAGCCTTGGTGGCACAATGGTTAAACACTCAGCTGCTAACTGAAAGGTAAGCAGTTTGAACCCACCAGTGGCTCTATGGGAGAAACTTGTGGCAGTTTACTTCCATACAGATTGTTGTTGTTGTTAAGTGTCATCAAGTCTGTTCTGACCCATAGTGACCTGTATAGGGTTTCTGAGGAGCAGCTGGTGAGCTTGAACCGCCGACCAGTGCTTATCCAGTGCTTATCATGTAGAGCCACTGTACTCTCCAGGGTGGGGTTAGTGAATGATTTATTTATTATTGTTGTGTGTTTCCCAACTCAGAAATTCTAAGTACAGAGTAGAATTTCCCCTCAAAGGGTTTCCAAGGCTGTAATCTGTATGAGAAGTCCTCATGTGGCACTGTGGGTTAATGTGCTGGACTGCAAAGTTGGTTTAAACCAACTTAAGAACTTTGGTTTCTGATTTGAAGAAGTCACTTTTTTTTTTTAAAGTTTTTATTGTGGATTGAGTAAAAGTTTACAGGGCAGATCATCAGTTTTACATTCAACAAATCATACATCTTGTTTCATTCAATGCTTATAATCCCATGCATGTACCATCAGTTAACAATATTTCTCTCTATTCACTTTGGCTGTTTTGTTGTTGTTGTTTGTTTGTTTGTTTTTAAACAAAACAAAAAACACTTAGGCATATATAATCATTTACACCACCAAAGGGCACATTCTGCAAGTCTGCCTCCTGGCTGCCATCTCTCAGTCCCTCACTTTCCATGAATCTAGAGTCCTCAGCTGCTCCCTCTCTCCATGTCCCCATCTCTGCCTGCATCTCTGGTGTTGTGTTGCTGCTTCTCTTGACAAGGTCTCACATTCCTCTTGTGCTCTTCTCCCTTGATGGTCTTAAGGTCCTTTGTTTCTGGACTGTAAGATTAACTACTCTCCCATTTTTGTTACAAAACAAGAAGTCACATTTTAAAGTCATAAAAACACTTGAAGCGTTTTAGAGAATTGAAGGAGCAACTGATGCAAATATGAGCAGAGTTTGTCTCAATAACCTAGTCTTCATAGCAATCTGGTCATGTTGTTCTCTGCTGATGACTGGTTTAAAGGGAATTAGTTGGTGTTTGTAAAATAAATAAGCACAGGAAGTAATTCAAAATGTGCAGATAAGTTCATCTTCTAAAACCACTCCCAGGTATTTGGAAAAAGAGCTCACTCACCTAGACCCCTAGAGGTCTAGACCTCTTCCTCTCACTAGCTGATTTTCTCAAGGTCTGAACTGTTCTCAGATCTGCCAACCTTGTAAGTGCCTCTTGCTAGCTATTGTATTAGATAGAATAAGATGGAACACAACACATTACACTGCATTATGAAACAAAATAATGCAGTGTGACATGCAGAAGATTTAGTACAATGCAATACAAAACAATACAATACACTTATAGACAAGTCTTTCAGAAGAGGGGAATAATAAGATTTCCCCTAGAGCGAGTCTATCATAGATGAGGAATCAGAGACCCAGAGAGGTAAAATGATTTACCGAAGCAAGCTAAGCGTAATCTAACTAAGCATAAATCTTTTAAGCACAATGCTAATAAGGAACTCCTGAAGCTGGAAGGAAAACATATTCAACCATGACCTAGCTCAGTATTAGAATACAAAAGAATATCAAAGTGAGAAGCTCAACAAACAAGGGGGAAAAAAAAATGGAGAGAAAGAACCAGAGTTTGATATTAATTCCAACCCTACCATACAGACATGGTGGATGTCCAGGATTCAGATTTCAGGGTGGGGGACTGTGTCTGCGGACATCAACAGAGGCAGAAACGCCTGTTTTTGTTTTTTAAATGTTGGAACTCCATTAGTAAATCTTATTTTTCAACCTTCAGCCCATACCCAGTCCTGAATTCTCTTGGCCTAAACTTCTGGGATCCTTTTTGAACCTGAGCTATCATGAGGTATTCCTGACTTGAGCCCTGATAGTGTAGTGGCACAAACCCACAAGCTACTCTGTAGGAGAAAAATGTGGCAGCCTACTTCTATGATTCCCCAAAACCAAACCTACTGTCATTGAGTTGATTCTGACTCAAAGCGACACTGGCTAGTGTTCCTGAGGCTGTGATTTCTTACAAGAAAAGAAAGACTCATCTTTCTCCCCTTAAACGGCTGGTGGGATTGGACTGCTAACCATCAGTCCAGTGCTTTTCCGACAGCACCACTAGAGCTTGTAAAGATTACAGCCTTGGAAACCCAGTGGGACATTTCTGCTCTGCCCTACAAGGTTGTCAGGACTTGAAATCGACTCCACAGCAATGTTTTCTGTTTTGTTTGTTTTATTAATAACTTTGCCCTTAGACTAGATTCTTAGGGCACTAAAACTGTATATGGAAAACCTAATTGGGACATTTCTTTCCACAAGTATAAGATTGTTTTGGCAAACAGGAAAAGAAAATGATGGATTGTGTCTTTCGAAATATTAGTTCTTAGCTTAAAAATCAAATGTTCTTTAAGATTGGGTACTTGATATTAAGTTACTGGGGCAGGCAGAGGGTGGAGAGCTTCTTCAGCCATTCTCAGGGCCAGGCAAGATGAATTTCTCTTATCACTTCCAAATAATCAAACTAGTCTCTGAATCTACCGCTGAATTTTCTTGACAAATGAATCTCTTAAATCAAGCTAGAAAATAATGTATGTTCATGTTTTGCAAATGTTTTGTTAAGTATGCTATTCTTAAACCTATATTAAGAAGTGCTTTTTTCTTTTCTTTTTTCAGATGGAAAGATTGAAAATTTGAAAATGTGGTATTTTGTTGAGGTCCACAGCAGTCTTGGACCCCCTATAAATGTAATTGAAATGAGAACTGTTGCTTTGGTAAGAGTCCATATGCCATGTTCATGTCTTTTTGCCAACAGTTAAAGCTTTTATGTAGCTTTGAAATGGTATTCTTAAAAAAAAAAAAAAAGTCCATATTAAACAAGTATATTGTGATAAATTATTCAAATATAGTAATTTGTTTTTAAATGTAGTAATAGAATCCCTAAGTGTTTCTAGCAAAGATTTTTAAGTTATATGATGTCTTACAGGCTGCACTGATCAGCATTCTGTCTGCATGCTTCAAAACTTTATTCTACTATTGCAAACTTAACCATATCCTAAGTCCTTGTTCTCATACCTCTGATACAAGTTCTAGTAAGCTCTCTAGACTCTTTTCAGTATTGATTATTCCCAACTTCTGCAGCTGTTCTTTCACTTGGAAACATATATTTGGAAAAGCTGACATAGACTTGGGATTTTAAGTGACAGGGACAAAGACGAGGATAGTCTTAGATGAATTATTGAAATGTTACTAAATCTATGTCCAAATTATTTAATAAAGGGAGATCTCCATCATCTTGGTTTAAATGAAATTTAAGGATAATTTACTTGCTATGGACAAAATATCAATTAGATTTAATTTTTTATTGGAAATACTAAAATAATTTAATTGAAAATATCAAAAATATAATTTTAATTTTAAAATATGCAGCTGGAAAACAGCAATGGGGTGTTAAGTGATGAGAATAAATATGGATTTAGTTCTTGCATGCAACTGTTTCTTCTTTCATTTGTATTCCTTCAATATTCTGTGAATCTTTCTCTATCCTCCATGATCCCGGGTTTTCCCATGAGATCCATATTTGTGCCTATTCCAAAGAGCTGGTAACCCAATGGAATGATGAAATCATCAGACAAGTCAGATTCAGATGAGGACATGGAACTAAACTAAGGGTATCATTGCTGATGTCAGATGGATCTTGGCTGAAAGCAGAGAATACCAGAAGGATGGTTACTTGTGCTTTATTGACTATTCAAAGACTTTCAACTGTGTGGATCATGACAAACTATGGACAACACTGATAAGAATGAGTATTCCAGGACATTTAATTGTGCTCATGAGGAACCTGTACATAGACTAAGAAGCAGCTGTTGGAACAGAACAAGGGACACTGTATAGTTTAAAATTAGAAAAGGTGTGCACCAGGGTTGTGGTCTTTCACGTTTATTCAGTCTGCATACTGAGCAAATAATTTAAAAAGTTGGATTATATGAAGAAGAGTGTGGCACCAGGATTGGATGAAGACTCAGTTGCAATATGTAGATGGTCCAACTTTGCTTGCTGAAAGCAAAGAGGACTTAAAATATGTACTGATAAAGAGTAAATATCATGGCCTTCTGTATGACTTGCACCTCAATGTAAGGAAAACAGAAATCTTCACCACTGGACCAAGACTGTAGCTGAGATGTGCACCCTCACCTGAAAAAAAATATTGAAGGATTCTATGGACAAATGAAGTCTTGGTGTGGCGCTATAGGATAAGCACTGGATAAGGTCACCAGTTCAAACCCACCAACCTTTCCTCAGAAACTCTGTACAGGGTCTCTGTGAATCAGAACTGACTCAATGACACTTAAAAATAACAACGCTAATGAAGGTGATTTATAAGTCTTGTATTTACCAATACAATCTAGAGAGAGCAAGCTCCAATCATAGCAATGGCTTCTGAAGGGATCTGTTGGACCAGTTATATTCAAGACAGAGAGATTAGCTCAGAAAGTTATGGTTTCTGTCTTTTGAGATTCCAAATGGGAAATTTTGTCAGATTTTCTCCAAGGACATAAAGAAATTGGGGGATAGGAGGAGTTATGATGCAGTTTTCAGAAAATTGAAAACTGGATTGGTGAGAGAAAAGACCAGAAAAGTTACACCATGGAATTTTTTCAATCACAACAATGCATCTGCTTATTCTTTAATGGTAGCAAATACTATCCTGTGAGCATTTCATTGGGAAACCTTAACCTATTCACCATACAACCCTGAGTTAATCCCTTCAGACTTCCTTTTGTTCCCAAACTTCAAGTCAGCTGGTGCTGACTTTCCAATTTAGGAAAATTATTGAGACAGATTATAGCTATCACTTCCTCTGAATTATGTGATGTTTTACTAAGTCTTTTGGTACAGTTTGTTCATTAGTAATAGTGTATTCAAATGGAATACAATTAAAATGCAAGATATCCTGAATAATGAGACTTACTGAAATTGATATGATAGTGAGTTTTGGAACTCAGACACAATCCTTCTATAATTAATTCATTATTATCTCTAGAAGAGATGTGATGAAAAATATTTATTTCCACTTGAGTCAGATTACAGTTTCACTCAGTTAAACTTTTTATGGACACACACGCACACAAACCCTTATTTACTCAGACCCAGTGAAATTAGCCAGTGATAAACTTTTCACCAGAACCGCTCAGTGAATTAAAGTTTTCTGCACAGGAGATAATGTGAACCATCACAGGATTAAGTCCTTTTGAACCCACTACCTCTCTTCCATCTGAGGTTATTTGCTCAGTAACTGTGACAGAGATCGGCAACTGTGGTAACTCGACATTTTTTCAACTCTTCCAGAGCCAGATTATCATATGGCTGCTTCATTATTTAAAAATTATGATTTTTCAGAATACTAAAGATGGTCAGATTTATATACAGACACTAAAGTTGTTTATAAAATATGCCATTTTATTCTTCCTGTCACTGTTTTACATGCTGAGAAAGAGCCATGGACAATAAAACTAGGTTCTTGTTTACAAGGAGTTTATATTCTAGTGGAGTTAGAAAGCAAACAAGTAATCAAAGTGGGATACTTAAGTTTTTCTGTTGTCATGGATTTTCAAATAAAGTCACAAACCAGAAAACCATAGATAAATTTCTCTTTAAATTATGACCGGGGTTTCTGTATTATTTACTTAGGACTTGCTCAATGTATTTGTTATGGCACTATAGCTGCTATAAGACATAAACCCCAAATTTTCAGTGAGTTAACACAATAAAAGTTTTTCATATTTGTAATAGTCAAATGGTAAGTGGTATATCATACATGCTGAGATTCAGGGAGCCAGGCTTATTCCATCGAGTGGATGACAAAGTGAAAGGCAGTTGGATGAAGACAAAAGAGAGGTGGATTTCCACTATTTTCTGAAGCTCCTTTCATGGGAGTGAAACACATCACTTCTAATCATATACCATTGGTTGGAATTGATCACATGACTGTGCCTGGGTGCAAAAGAGTCTGAGAAATGTAGTCTTTGGTTGGACACCTGCTTCCCAATGCCATACTATGAAAGGGGATCACAGCTTTTAGTTGGACAACAGATAGTTCTGCCACATCAAGGGAGGCCAAAATCCTTTATCTTACCACCTGCTTCTAGACTTTATGAGGGGACTTCAAAAAGTTCATGAAATAATTCCGTTCTTTTTTAATTCCATTTTTCCATGAGTTTTTTGAAGCCCTTTCTATGAGATGGCCAAAGACTGATCCAGAAGAAGGAGTTATTTCCTGGAAAGGAAAGTGTCAGCATTTTTCCTTTCCAGGAAAATGTATCCTTTTCCTTCGTACCTAGCACAGTTCAAGTGGTGGTGGTGGTGGCGGCTATGTGCCATCAATTCGGTTCCAACTCATAGCCAACCCATACAGGATTTTCAAGGCTGTAAATCTTTATGGGTGTAGATTTAAACTACTGAACTTGCAGTTAGCAGCCCAGCTTGTAATCTACTACACTACCAGGGCTCCTCACACAGAACTGCATCAAGACAGAAGGGAAGGTATCTGCTATGAGGACCAGAAGCTTATGGTTTAATGTCCACTAGCTTATGCTGGGACTGATGGTGTGGTGCTATAGGATAAGCACTGGACTGTGAAACAAAATTTCCGTGGTTCAAATCCTCCAGCTCCTCCTTGGAATCCCTGTACAGTGTCATTATGAGTCAGAATTGACTCGACAGCACTTAACAACAACAAAAAGCTTATGCTGAGCTCCTAACATCATATTGGATTCTGGAGGAGGGGAAATGGCTATAGATGGAGCATGTTATACTTCCGCTGACAGAAGACTCCACCTCCAGGATTAGAATGGACGTTTTACTCTGTGGAAGAAATCTGGACTTTGGCAAGCTTGAAAGGACTTGTCTCAAGAATATAGTATGATAGGAGAGTAAAGAGCAGTGTATGTGGGGTAATGCAACAAAAGGGAAAGAGAGAAGGAATTTAAAAAGTCAAAGAGAAGTTCAACCACCATAATTTGACTTCTTAGTTCAGATTGTCTCTACTACATGGTACTCATGTAAAGTATTAAAGTGTTTCTCCTGGATCTTCAACATCAGTAGCAGTATTACATAGAGATTTTAGAAACATAAACTTTCAGACCCTAATCCAGATCTACTGAATCAAAAATTTTGATGCAGTAACTAGGAATCTGTTTTAACAACCCTTTCAGGTGATTTTTATGCACAACTATTAAAACAAACACGAAAAATGGACCTCATAGTAATATTGGTAATGGAGAGAAATATTTTTCACATGAAATTTTACAGTTTGCTTAGTCTTTAGTTCTGTGGATTTCTTTATAAAGTTTGCTGTTACAAAAACTTGTCACCAAAATTCTACCATTCACCAAGGAAAACATGTAAAATTTTATAGATTAAAAATTGGTGAGAGAGAACAAACAAGATGGAGGATTGGGTGGAAATGCAGTAAGGAGCTCTGTCAGCAGCAACACAGAAAACCAGACCAAGCAGGCTCAGGGGATGGTGCCAGAACTCTGAACCATATATAAAGTAATATTTAGAAAGTTGGAAGGCTTACCGATAGGAAAATTTGTAGCAGAAGCAAGAAATCCTTTGCTTTCTAATCCAAGATACTCAGCTACCTCCCACAGTTGCCATCTTGGGTGAGATCAAGTGGGGGAAGGATCAGAGCCGTCACAGATGCCTGACAGAACTGTTGAGATAATGGTGTGGACACTTTTTTTTTTTTTTGGTATGTTTTCATTGGTCTCTAACTGTCTGTGCATCTCCATTCTGGTGACTAGAGGGGATGCCTGAGCAAATGGACACCCTGCCCCCAGCCATGAAGGGTTCTACTATGCATGCACACAGATGTCCTTGAAATTTAAAGAGACAGTTTTCACTTAAAATCAAATGGCAGTGCAAAATGGCCACAGCAATCAGAAAGCATAAAAAATACCAAAATACACACCCATCTAAGTATTAAGGCCACAGGTAACTCTTGAAATATGCCAAAAAAAAACCCAGAAACAGATGACAATATCAGCACATGTCCAGAAACAAAATAAAGTGACTGAGGCAAATGAACTGGAAGTGGATGGGCAGGCTTTGGAAATGCCTGAGAAGGAATTCAGAAAAATGATTATAAAATGTATCAAAACACTATACAAAGGAGTTGAGAAAAATAAGGAAGAAGTCAGGAAAATGCAACAGGAACAATCAAATAAGACAGATACAGCATTGGAAACAATGCAAAACCTACAGAAAGAAATCCAAATAATTAATAATAGAATATCAGAAATGGACAATACACTGAAAGGGCAAAGGAGTAGAATTGAAGAGTTAGAAGCCAGAACTAGTAAGTAAGAAGATAAATCTCTCAACACTATTAAGATAGAAGAGCAAGCACAAAAAAGGATTAAAAAAATCTGCAGAAGGCCTAAGATTCATGTCGGACAATATGAAGAGGAATGACTTAAGAATTATTGGTGTTCCATAACAGGAAGAATCACACAAGTCCACAGAGTAGATTGTTGAAGAGCTTCTGGAAGAAAATTTCCCTAACATCCTGAAAAGCAATAAGATAAGCATTCAAGAAGCTCAACGAACCCCAGGAAGGATAGACCCTAAAAGACAATCACCAAGACATATCATAATCAAGCTCTCCAAAATCAAACATAAGGACAGAATCCTGAAAGCAGCTAAGGAAAAGAGAAGTGTAACATACAAAGGCAAGCAAATCAGATTAAACTCAGATCTCTCAGCAGAGACCATGCAGGCAAAAAGGCAATGGAGAGACATATATAAAACCCTGAAAGAAAAAAAACTGCCAAACCCATCAAAGCTGTCAATCAAATACAATGGTGTAATCAAAACATTCCAGGATAAACAGATGCTAAGGGATTTTGCCAAAGCCAACCCTGAGATGAAAAACATCCTAAAGGGAGTTCAGTAGATTGAGAACCAACAAGAACAGACAACAACCAGAGATTGACGTACATGGCAGCATCACCCTGAACTCAAAAGGCAAATGGAAGAGTTGAGAACAGAATAAAATTATAAGAACAGAGGATCTGGGAGATTAGTGTATGATCAAAACAATTACAGAGAGGAACAGAGATCCAGGTGGTGATAAATTCAGGCAGATTACAAGATGAAATAGACTGTCTTAAATGGAAGAAAAAGTTAATGGAAGATAAGGTAACCACAATGATGGGGTTGGGGTGGGGGATTTAGTTCAGGTGTTGGGGAGGGCAATACAAGAAGGAGGAGGATGTGGAAGAACAATATAGATAGGAGAACTCTTAGACAGGTTTGCATGGCCTAAGTGAGACAGAAGTAAATAGTGATGTATGCTCAACCTTGCAATAAAAAGGCTCTGTGATACAGGGATCTATCTAGGCATAGTTTGAAGAGGGGAAATAATACTAAAATGCTTGACTGTCTTATGAATATAGGTTTCTCTTGCCTACCATTGTAAAATAGACACTTGAGAGGGATAGATAGGAATGTTGGGAAACAGAATTACAGAAAATTTGTAAGCCCATCTTCAGCCTATAACTGATTGGAATACCTAAAAGGGGTTCTAGAACTTGTCCAGTGAAATAGACTCTTGCAGAGCCTTTGCAGAGTATAGGACCTTAGGTGGAATCCTGAGTCCCATCCAGAACCTTCTGAGGTGGGACATTCCTACGAGCAAGTACAAGGAGACCAGCCTGGAACAGCTAGAGTGACAGAAGATACATCTTCAAAGAAACACAATCAGGAAAAACCCAAAACAAAAATGTCGGCCTGACTGGCTACCACAAGAATAAGCAAGCTGTTTGCCAGGAAGCCATCAAGGCAAGCAATCAAGTTCCTTCAGGTAAAACACATCTAAGACTGAAACTTAAAGGGAACACATGAGCAGGTATGTAAGCTTGCTGGTGACTACTTTGGTCTACTGGTGAGTGGAAGAAGGGGAAAGGCAGCAATGAAGAAATGGGCTGAGTTCAACCACAGTCCATTGACTCCTGTTGACCTGGAGATGAGAAAGAAAAGAGGAAGAGCTGGTTGGTCCAAAGTGTGGTGAGACCTGGGAACACCTGAGCCCATGGACAAGGACATAGTCACAGAGGGCTAAAGCTGATAGTGAGGGTAAATGCACAAAAACTCCCAAACTTGCATACAGTACCCATTTGACCTAGCCTCAATGGCTTGGTAATCAGAACTTGACTACAGGAAGATTTAAAAAAAAATTTTTTTTTGATAAAGGAATAAGGTAAATTGTTACAATTTGGTGAACCTGACCTATACTCATGGCGATAGTAACTCTAAATACCAATAGAGAGGGAAGGAGTCTTCACATCAAGTATCAATGCTATCCCCTCTGTACACAGGGTAGAGAGGGATGGGCAAGTTAGACATTGGCTACCTAAAATAGGGGGAGGAGGGCTATAAAGGCACAAAGAGACTGGCTTACAAGGTTTCAAGAGGGAGTTTAGTTTAAGAGTGTGTGGGGGAAGAAAGAGTTCCCACTGAATAGTTTTCATCTTGTCTAGATGGGTCTGGTGAAAAGAGATGGGGATAAGATTCTTATGATTCAATTGTGAATAATTGTTATCATGACTAATTGCGACTATCACAATTGTAAAAGTAGAAGTTTTGTAAAAAACAAAACGAAACAGGGGAGTGGCTAATCTTACAGTCCAGAAACAGAGGACCCTAAGACCATCAAGGGAGAAGAGCACAAGAGGAATGCAGGACCTTATCCAGAGAAGCAGTGACACCAGAGATGGAGGCAGAGATGGGGTCATGGAGAGGGGGAGTGACTGAGGACTCTAGATTCATAGGAAGAGAGGGAGTAAGAGCTGGTGGCCAGGAGGCAGACTTGCAGAATGTGCCCTTTGGAGGTGTAAATTATTATATATGCTTCAGTGGTTTTTTTTTGTTTTTTTTTTAGAAGAGCTAAAGTGAATGGTGAGAAATACTGTTAACTGATGATACATGGAAGGGATTATAATCCTTGTAATGAAACAAGGTGCATGATTTGTTGAATGCAAAACTGATGATCTGTCCTGTAAACTTTCACTCAATCCTCCATAAAAATCTTAAAAAAAAAAAAAATTGGTGAGCTAAATTCAGTAGAACATCAAGTAGATCAAGAAAAAACAAAAACAGTAGAAATGACCCTATTCCCCTATTCTGTATAACAGTTTTATTTACATTTGCTTTCACAGAACAGTAATTCTGTGCTGAAACTAATTGCTGCTCATCTATTTGTTCTGTAATTCTAGGAAACTGTAAACATTGAATTACCTTTCTCGAATCCACATGATAGTATTGTTCACTTAGATGTGATATTATCAAGTGAAGCCTTTAGTGGACTTAAGAAGCTTACCATAAATCCCAAAGAATGCATCAACTACATTGTCAGGTATTCTCCAGCGAAAACAGGCTATACAGAAGAAAGGTATGGTTTGAATGGTGCATGTGTATTTCATTGTTAATCCTTTGAGATCGGGTTTACAAATTCTTATGATGTATTTGTATGCTGTAGTCATTAGGATTACACTGGCTCATAGTTTTAGCTTCCTGAACTTTCATTCCTTGATGAAATTTAGAATTAGGTTTCCTTCAGTGCAAAAATATTATTTCTTGAAATAGCACATTAAATAATTCCTAAATTTCTCCTATACCCCCTCCTTCATTTCACTTTGCATGACCTAAGTCTCTCTAGGTTTAAGTGTGACGCAAGTGAAAATGACTTCACAAGAACTAAGAATTAGGGAAGGTTTAGAGAGATGGAAACACCACCATTTTCAAAAGTGAATAGACCTAGATGGAGGATATATGAAAAAACAACAGCTTCACATTTTGATATTTTTATTTAATAAAGGTTTCTATGATTTTACAGCAGTACTGTTTGACCTACTCTCATGTACATATGTATCACACACACACACACACACACACACACACACACACACAAACAGTGTGGATGTATGTGTACAGGGTCTGTATGAGTCAGAACTGACTCGGAGGCACTTAACAACAAAAATGTCATGTTGTTTGTGAAAAACTCTCTTTGCATTGCGTGTATGTAAACACATAAAAATGTTGAGTTGGTTCTGATCCATAGCGACCCTATATAGGGTTTCTGAGGAATAGCTGGTGAGCTTGAACCACCAACTTTGCAGTTCAAACGGCTTTGCAGTCTGGTACATTAACCCACACCACCACACCAGGACTCCATAGTCCAGTTATACTTTTAGATTATCCCAAGCTTTATCTGCCCCAGAACTATGCACATGCTCATTATAAAGGAAGCCTATCAGAGCAGTTACCTGATAATCTTCTTATGAAAATATGTATGCGTTCAAGTCAACAAACTAAAATCGACGTAATCACAGTTACAAATCGAGTGTTTTCCTGTTATAGCTCTAGCAAAGCATTTAAATTATTTATGTTTAAGCATTTTTTCATTGATTCAGCAGGCATTTTATTAAATAGTCATTAATAACCATGACGCTGGTTTTCTTGGGTAACAAATGATGACATGATTTTCACACCACAAGTTGAGAGATTTCATAATGTATCCACAATAAGAATAGAATGTGTCACAGAGAAGTTGTCAAAGAATGTATTTTAAACCTGTTTCTACCAATTTGGGAACTTTTTTTTGCAGCCACGTTTATTATGCAAATAAAATAAATCACTAACAAGATTGTGTATATTTCTCTCCACCAGCATTATTTTCCAGCCTGATGTGGCTTTAGAATTCTGGTTTTTACTAAGATTAACTACCGGAAATCCAAAATCAATCATGATGCCAGAATTACAATGTGAACTTGGAAAGTAAGTTCTATTTAATAGATAACATTATTTATGAAAGAAAAATAGAACATCTAATAGTGTTTTGGTGGTGGTGGGTATGTGCCACCAAGTCAGTTCCAACTCATAGGGACCCTGTATAGGATTTCTGAGGCTTTAACGGGTTTATTTGTGGCATAACTAGTATCTTCCATAGTTTATGGCCATAAACTTTATTCAGTTTATGGCCTGACTTTATTCAGGACACCTAGCAGATGTTTAAGTGTCCCAGTGTGGCGCTGTAGAATAAGCACTGAACTGCCAATCATAGGGTTGGTAATTCAAACCAACTAGCCTCTTCTGAGAATCCCTGTAGGCGGTCTCTGTGTGTTGGAACCAAGTCAACAGCACTTAATGACAACAATATACATTGGTGATGCATTGAAAAACAGCCCTGAGAAATTGCTTGAGGTTACTGTGAGGTTAGCCAACTTAATGGCTTATACGTAAAGGTTTAACAGTGTTTATTCTTTTAGGTGGAATCCTGGGGTAGTGCTATGGGTTAATGCGCTGGACTGCAAAGTAGATTTGAAATGCAAAGTCGGTGGTTCAAGCTCACCAGTCACTCCTAGGAAACCCTATACAGGGTTGCTATGGGTGGGAACTGACTCGAGAGCACTTGACAATAACAAATTATTTTAAATGGTTATTATACAACTAGTACCAAGTTTGCTGCTGATAAAAATAAAGAAGTCACAATAGAAATATTTTTTTGTGTGTGAAAAATACTTTGAAAGTATCTCTAATGGGAAATTAAAAGAAAATTAGATTTCTTATCGGGAGGTAATATTTATGTATAATTAATTTTTAAAAATTGGACTAATTGATTCCTTTTTCTTTTAAAAATATATCTCCTTTACCACATCAAAAGAGTTTTGAATTCTCCCAGTACCAGATACTGAGCCAAAATACTGGCTGCAAGTGATTTATTAGAGAAGCATTGTTGTTAAGTGCCATCGAGTCATGTTCAACTCATAGTGACCCTGTGTAGGGTTTCCGAGGAATGGCTGTTAGGCTTGAAGCGCTGACCTTGTTGTTCAAACCTACCTTGCAGTCCAGTGCATTAACTCATAGCACCACTCTAGGACTCTGTTAGAGAAGTAATCCCAGAGAAATCAGTAAGCAAATAGGTGAATCAGGGTAAGAAAAGGGAAGAAACTAAGCAAGGGTATGATTGCAAACACAATCCCAGATTTTTCATGATCTTGCTGAGAGTTCTACAACAGAAATCACTTCTCAGAGTCTATCCTGTCTTGGCTTAAAGGAGCTGGACTTCTGGACTCCCACACTAGTCATTATAAGGGTAGAGCTGCTTCTTAGAGTTTTTGAGAGTGTAAATCTTTAAGGCAGACAAGCCTCATCTTTCTCCTGCTGAAGGACTGGTGTTTTAGAACCACCGATGGACCTTGTGGTTCGGTCGTTCAAAAACACCAGTCTATCCCTACGTGTAACCCACTGTACTACCAGAGTTTTTTTTAACTATAAGAAAACTATCTTAAAATACCATATATTTTTTTTTTCAACTTTTGCCTGTTGCAAATGAAGCTGCCATGAACATCTGTGTTTTGTGTGAATGGAAGTTTTTATTTCTCTGTGATAGATGCCCAGGAATGCAATTGCTGGATTGTATCATAACTGCCTGATGTGGCAATGTAGCATAAGCATTGAACTTCAAGGTCAATTTGACCAGTGAGGTCGGCAGTTCAAACTTGCCAGAGGCTCCTCGGAAACACTATATAGTGTCACTATGAGTCAGAATCGACTTCACGGGACTTAACAACAACAACAACAACAACAGTAGTTGCCTATGGTTATGTCATCTTGTTCAATTGTCCCTTTAATCATGAGATAATGTCCATCTTTATCTATTATGCTGGGTTTTGCCTTAAAGTTTATTTTATCAGAGATTAGTACTGCCTGTCCTGTTCATTTTTTATTGCAATTGGCTTGGTATATTTTTTTCCATCCTTTGACCTTTAATCTGTTTTTGTCTCTGTGTGTGAGATGCGTCTCTTGCAGACAGCATATTGAAGGATCTTGTTTTCTTATCCATTCTGCCACTCTCCGTCTCTTAACAGGCACATTTAATCTCTTTACATTCAGTGTAATTATTGATAGGTATGGATTAATTGCTGCCATTATGGTTGGTTTTTTGTTTTGTTTTGTTTTTGTGGTATTGCTGCTTTCTTTGTTCTGTGCGTCTTCCTTTGTTGAGTTCATGCTTTTTGTGTTCTTTCTTGTGAGTTTCCTCATAGTTTTAATGTTTCCCTCTTCTTCTTGGATTTTCATTTTCTTGGTATGTTGTGAAGTTTTAATTTTCATTGAAGTTGCCTTATAGTCCATTAACTTATCTCTCCATTTAGTGCAGTCTATTTTATCCTGTAATCTACCTGACCTTCTCACCATCTGGATCTTTGTTCCTACATGTTTACCTTCTTTTGCATTGTAATTGTTTTGATCATTGACTGACCTCCCAGATTCTCTGAGTGTGCTCTTAATATAGTTTTGTTCTTTTCTCAACTCTTCCTTCTGTTGGTTTAATTCTGAGAAGTGCTGCCACATATGTCAATCTCTGGTTGTTGTGTGTTCTTGTTGGTTCTCAGTTCGGTGATTTTCTTTTGGGGTCTATCCTTTTTGGGGTTCGTTGAGCTTCTTGAATGTTTATCTTTTTGCTTTACAGGATGTTAGATAAATTTTCTTCCAGCAGTTCTTCAACTATTTCATCTGTGGATATGTGTGATTCTTCTTGTTCTGGAATGCCAATAATTCTTAAGTTATTCCTCTACATGTTGTCCAACATGAATCTTAGAACTTCTTCAGATATTTTTATCCTTTTTGTGTTTGTTCTTCTATCTTATTGGTATTAAGAGATTTGTCTTCCATTTCACTGGTTCTGCCTTCCATCTCTTGTACTCTACTCCTTTGCCCTTTCAGAGTATTGTCTATTTCTGATATTCTATTGTTGATCATTTGAACCTCTTTCTGTAGGTTTTGAATTGTTTCCAATGCTGTATCTATCTTATTTGATTGCTCCTGTAGCACTTTCCTGACTTCTTCCTTATTTTTCTCAACTCCATTGTAAAGTGTTTTGAAATGGTTTGTAATCATTTTTCTGAATTCCTTCTCAGGCATTTCCAAGGCCTGCCCTCCTTCCAGAATAGAGTCCAGGTGTACCTCTAGGTCATTTGTCTCACACATTTTATCTTGTTTCTGGACATGTGCTGATATGGTCATCTGCTTTTGCTCCTTGGACATGTTTAGTGTTTATCTGTGGCCTTAATACTTAATTGAGTATGTGTTTTGGTATTTTTTATGCTTTCTGTTTGCTTCCAGGTAGATGTGATCAGGATGTGGGCTTCCCTTTTCAGTCTTCTTGTTGCTTAACTCAGAGTAACTTTCACAGGTGTTGTCTTTTTCCCTGGTATATGGCAGTTGGTATTGGTTCTTGCCTGGGTTTTGGTGTTTTATAGAGTGTGATGGTAACTTGACTATATGGCAGCAGTTGCTGAGTCTTCTTGGGTAATATAGGGAGAAATCGAGTCCCCCAAAGGTAGAAGGGGGAGCATAAAATAGCAAAACAGCACCAGCAAAAAAAAAAAAAAAGGTAAAACAAACAACAACAAAACAAAACTAGATTGCATACTACAGTCTATAATCACAGAAAAGGGAGAGGAGGGAGAGAAGGGGGAAAAAAAAGATCTGTAGCCTAATATGTTGTTGTTGTTGTTAAGTGCCATCGAGTCGGTTCCGACCCATAGCGACCCTGTACAGGGTTTCCGAGGGTGTAAATCCTTACGGGAGTAGACTAATATAAGTATGGCTTTAATGTGCTCTCTTCAGCTTCTTGCTTTGAAAGCTGCCTAAGAGATTTCAAGATGCCACTGTTGGTTGTTATGCTATACATCAGGCTTTAATTTAATTTTCAGCCTGTTTGTTTTTAAACTCTCTTCCCTCTCTACAGCCCTGTCCTGGCCTTTCCCATATTTAAAAAAAACTTTCAGGGCCTGCCCTTTGGCTGAGAGTATCTGTGCGCATGTGTGGCCGAAGAACCCATCAGTGGTGAGGGCGGTGGGGGGGGTATCCACTCATTCAGGCACCTCCTCTAGTCACTAGAATGGAGGTGCAGAAACAGTGGGGGGTGGGGCAATGACCAGATACCAAAAAACAAAAAAATCAGAACAAAGCAATACCAACAAATTGTATTGTCTACTTTTGCTCCAAGGTTCCCACGGCGTTTTTCCATGGTGTGTCTGCTCCCCCACTGGGTCTTGCCATTTGGTCTTGGTTAGGGTTAGGGTTTATTTACTACGGTTAGTAAGGATTTGATTATTTTCATCAGAATTTTCAGTAAAATATATATGTGCTTGGTAAATGAATTAATTCGTGACTTATAGAGAGTTTTCAAATTTGTAGTCAAGAATCAAAACACTAATGTATAATTCTCTATTCTAAGATGAAACGTTATTTGCATATTTTACATAATAATTAGGAAAGTGGCCATTTGAATTATGCAATTTTCATTAAGCAGATGAATTCTGCTCAGCACATGTTACTCTTTTACCTCTTGCAGAGGATTATGAGATTGAAAAAAATTAATAAGATATAGGTAGTGATAATTACATTTGTATTTTCTAGTTTTTTGACCATTTAGATTTTAACCTTGACCATTTTAGGGTATAACCAAAAGTCAATGTAAAGAGAGGTAAGCAAAGCTGTACACTGATAAAATTCCTGTATTATGGTGGTATGGAGTCCTGGTGTGCCGTTTTAGGATAAGCACTGGATTGCTAACTGCAAGGTTGTCAGTGCCCATCCATCAGTCACACCTCGGAAACCCTATCCAGGGTCAGAACCTACTCCATGACACTTAACAATAATAGGATGTTATAGTTCAAAGTTATGGGAAGATAGCACAGGATTACAGTTTGAATGATGTTCATAAAAGAATTAGAAATTAGCTTTGAATGGATTACAGACCTTCTTTGTTTTGAGTATAACTACTGGCTATAAGGAGCTCTGGTAGCGTAGTGGTTACGAATTGGTCTGCAAACCGCAAGGTCAGCAGTTCAAAACTACCAGCTGTTTTGTGGGAGAAAGATGAGGCTTTCTGATCCTATAAAGATTTTCAGCCTTGGAAACCCTCTACAGTGTCACTATGAGTTGGAACCGACTCCACGGCACATAACAACAACAACAACCGGCTATACATGTTTGGTATTTACTTATTTATAATTTGGACATTGGAGTCCTGATGTGGCACTGTAGGATCAGCACTGGACTGCTAACCACAAGGTTGGTAATTCAAACCCACCAGTCATTCCTTGGAAATCCTATATAGAGTTACTATGGTGTTGTAGTGGTTATGTATTGGGCTGCTAACCTCACAGTCAACAGTTTGAAACTACCAGCTGTCCTGCGAGAGAAAGATGAGGCTTTTTGTGCCTATAAAAGATTTACATACTACAAGAACAAGCAACTTGCTTGCCCAGGAAACATCAAGGCAAGTGGTCGGGTCCCCTCAGTGCAAACCCCTTTCTAAGACTAAGACTCAATGGGAATACACGCTGTGATTGGTGACCACGCTTGACACCGATAAAGGGAAGTGACGGAAAAACAGCAATGAAGCGGTGAGTTAAGCCCTACAATGTTCAATAGACTTCTGTGAACCCGGGTGAAGACCTGGTTGGCCAGCAGTGTGGCAAGACCTGGGGACTCTTGGACCCAGAGTCAGTAACATAGCCACAGAGGACTAGAGTGGAGAGTGAAGCGTCCAGCTGATAAGAAGAGAGGGCATATGCAAAAGAACACCCACACTTGCAGATAATACCCACTTGACCTGGCTTCAATGACTGGATGATCAGAGCTCAAGTAGAAGAAGAAAGAAGAGGTAGAAAAGAGCAATCTGATACAATTTGATGAACTTGACCTACACCTATGGATGCAGTAGCCCAAAAGAGGGAACAAATCTTACAGCAAGGATCATACATAGAGTAGGCAAGGATGGGTAACTTGGACATTGGCTACCCAAAATGGGGAGGGGGAGCTACAAAGGCAAGAAGTGACTGGCTTACAAGCTTTCAAGAGGGAACCTAGATCCAGAGCGCCTCGGGGAAGGTAGAATCTCCAGTGAGTAGTGTTCCATCTGACTAGGCAGGGCTGAGGCAATGAAATGCAGACAGGTCTCTTGTGATATAATAGTGAATAATTGTTATCAGGACTGATTGTTAGGGTCGGGAATGTAAAGGTAGATGTTTTATAGCAAGGAGGGAAGTGATTAACTGTTCAGTCTAGGAGCGGAGGTCCCTAGGACTGTCAATGGAGAAGAGCAGAGAGCGGGACCCTACCCAGAGAAGCAATGATGCCTGAAATGGAGCCAGAGATGATGATGTGGAGCGATGGAGCAGGTGGAGACTTTAGATCCAGAGAGGGAGAGCGACTGTGTGCTGAAGACCTGGGAGATATGGGGGAAGGATTGCATGGAGGGGATTGTAACCGTGGCAATGAGACGATATATACGATAGAATGAATGTAAAACTAATGTTGTCCCATGTTAACACATAATTCACAATAAAACATTTAAGAAAATAAATAAATAAAGTAAATAAATAAATAAAGTGAATGGAAAAAAAAAAAGATTTACAGCCTCAGAATTCCAATGCAGGGTTGCGATGAGTCAGAACCTACTCCACAGCACAACGCCACCACCATGATTCAGAGCTGACTTGATGACATATAACAACAATTTGGATATTACCTGATGTTGTGCTGTAGAATAAGCACTGGACTGCTAACTGCAAGGTTGGCAGTTCAAACTCACCAGCTTCTCCATGGAAACTCTATATAGGGTTGCTATGAGTCAGAACCGACTCAAAGGCACTTAACAACAACAATACTATAAATGATAACTTTTGCATTTATAACTTTATATTATCATTTCTAGACTATGTTAGCTTTTTTTTGCTAAACTTAATAGTTATAAAATAATGGGTAAACGCTCTTTTTAAAACTAGAATATTTTCCAATATAAAAATGCAATAACATTTAGTTTCAAAAATAAATGATCAGATATTATTTATTTTAGGAAATTGTCATTAGTTCACACATGATAATTCTTATTTTGACACTCCCAAAAGTACCAAGTTAATAGAACTGTCATTAAGTTTATGAATGCCAGCAACTTAACTTGCTTTTATTTTTCTTCCAGGTGTATCACTCAAATTATTCCCTTGACTAATCCTACCCATGAGACTTTAGAAGTAGAAATCTCAAACAGTAATTCTAGAAATTTTGTCCTGGATATTTTTGTAGAATTACCAGTAAGTATATTCAGAAAGCAAAGTAACTTATTAGTTGTTGTTGTTAAATGCCGTTGAGTCAGTTCTGACTCATAGCGACCCTGTATAGGGTTTCCAAGGAGCAGCTCATGGGTTAATAATTCTGGGATATTGTCATTTGAATTACCAATAAAGGTGAATATTTCTAAAATTTAAAAATAAATGGATTTTGTGCTCCCTTCCCTCACCCTCAATTTTGATTGATGTGCAGGTTTGATGAGCAAAGCAAACAGTTTTGTGCATCAACACTGCACACAAAGAGGCCGTCTCTCAAAAGTAGTGATTGTTGTTTCTCTCTTATTTCTTGGTGTATTTGCACAGTTGATCGTGAACCCTTACTCCACCACGGAAGTACACTTTCATTTCCATCCTTCTGCACTTGGAAGGGCTAGTCAACAAGCATCAATCAACTTTCATTGCGCTCAGGTATGCTGTTTGTTCTTGAAGAAAGTTAAATTCATTAAATTTTAAAATCATTAAATGTTTGCGTTCTTAGGTTACTTGGACGAGGGAAAACCTACATCCAGATTTATAAGATTGGTATCTTAATGTAATGCTACATTGTTGACACTTTTATAATCTTCTGACTTTCCATGAATTTCAATGTAGATAATATAATGCATAAAATTGCATTGTTTTCAATCCAGATGATATATCTGTACAGTGCTCCTGAATAATAATAATTTTAAACCTCACAATAATTATTACTTTAAGCACCACATGCCATTTTAAGAATTAATTCAGGTCAATCTCAGCACAGACCTATAATAGAAGTACTGTTATCAACCCCATACACAGATCAGAAAACTGAGATAGTGATATTAGGATTAGGCAACTAGTAAGAGGTCTAGCTGGAAGCTGAACCCAGGAGGTCTGCCTTTAGCTCATTTTCATGACTGCTTTTTGGAATTACCTATAATTTTCCAAGAGGCTTTACCTCTCTTCCTGCCAATGAAAACTTAGATGACTTATTCCTTTTATAATAATTATTTTTACTTCTTCATGTCTCAACAGGTAGGGAAGTAAATGGAGAGGTATATATTTTATATCTGGGGACACAAGGATATCATGAATTCAGCCATCTGAGGGGAAGTGGAATCAAATAAAGGCAGGGTCTCAATATCAGAGCACCTGAATCTTTAAAGGTTTTATTTTCCACCTTTAGAAGAATTTGAGATCAAGATGATCTAAAAATATTATGTATTTTATTTTAAATGCACATACTTGTGTTGCTTTTAAATTTCTCTCCATATACTCAAGTGGAAATGTTAAGCAATGTTAGGGTATCTGTTGGGTATTAGTGTTCAATAATGGCGGACTGCGGTTTTACTTAGAAGCACAGTAAAGTTCCATTATTTTAAGCCACTTGGGGGAAACATAGAAACATGACATTCTTATTTATTTTTTTACTTTTCTGTATTTTGGTTGCTTACAATGTTTTTAAGTCAACCAACTTCTGTCACCCAGAATTAATTCCAAAAGTCACCAAAAAGAAGTCCCTGACTTAACAGGTTGTTAATTAATTGAATCCTGATGCTTGATTATAACATGAATTCAAGTTAGGAAATAATAATAGAAAATACAGTGACATTGTGTTATGCTAATAGAGTCTCTAAAACTAAAGCTTTCGTTAAAACATAAAATGCAAATTTATGTATAGTTATAGATGTTGTTGTTGTTAAGTACCACAAAGTCAGTTCCTACTCATAGCGACCCTGCACCAGATTCCCGAGGCTGTAAATCTATGGGAGCAGAATGCCTCATCTTTCTCCTGCAGAAGCACTGATAGTTTCGAACTGCCGACCTTGAGGTTAGCAGACCGATTCGTAACCACTATGCTACTAGAGCTCCTTTAAGATGATAGAAATATAGATGATAGATAGGTACATATATAAAACTTGCCTGCAATCCTTCCTACTCAGAGACACATTTTATGGATTTTTTATTATCACCAATCCTGCTTTGTTACAATCTTAAAGCAAGGGTCTCTATTTTTGTTGGATTTTTCTTCTTCTTCTTCTTTTTTACTTTGTCCCCTGTATGTTCCACCACATTCATACATATATTTGCAGCAAAGGTAAATGTTGATGTTATTATGTGCCATGGAGTCGGTTCCACCTCATAGCAACCCTGTACAGGGTTTCTGAGGCAGTAAATCTTTATGGGAGCAAAAAGCCTCATCTTTCTCCCATGGAACAACTGGTAGTTTACAACTGCTGACCCTAAGGTTAGCAGCCCGATTCGTAACCACTATGCTACCAGAGCTCCTTACACCTGTATAAATACCCTGTGTCAAGCTTATTATTTTGTGTGGGTATATTCCTACTCTTCCTCCTACAACCATTGGAATTTAGTTTAGAAACATCTGTATATTTGGGGAGATTATAAACCAGGTCATTGTTGATTCGTTTTTTAATGTGATGATTTTTTAATGTTACTTACTGTTGTAAAAATACAGGTAACACAACATTTTTCAATTAAACAATTTTCATGTGTACATTTCAGCAACACCAGTGACCTCTGCATTCATTTGTAACAGTAAAGTGTTCAATGCAGAAGTATGAGATGTTGAGTCACAGTCTCCTGTAACCTCAAGGGTTGTTTTTTTTATCCCCCAAGCCAAAGCCCAATTTTATTTACACTCAACTCATCCTAAAGCAAAAGGAGCTCTGGTAGCGTAGTGGTTACGAATCGGGCCGCCAACCTTAAGGTCAGCGGTTCGAAACTACCAGCTGCTCCACGGGAGAAAGATGAGGCTTTCTACTCCCGTAAAGATTTACACCCTTGGAAACCCTTTACAGGGTCACTATGGGTTGGAACCAACTCGATGGCACTTAACAACAACAACACAATATGAATCTTAGACCTTCTTCAGATTTTT